TGTTACATTTCATTGATTACAAGAAATTTTAAAAGAATTTTAAAAGTTTTAAGTTTTAATTTATAAATTTTAGTTTGCTAATGCTAAGACGTCAGTTAGTTTGTTAAATGTGGTTAAGACAATGGAGAACTAAATTAATAGTATTTAGTTTGGGAATTGTTAAAATGTAAAGATTTCAATAGTAATTAAAAAATTACATAAAAAGTACAATAACTAAATAACTTTTTCTATAGGAAAAGTTGTCCGAATCGGAATATTTTTTCTATAGGAAACGTTGTCCGAATTGGAGTTCTTTTTTTATATAGAACAAGTTGTCCAAATCGGAATACTTTTTCTATAGGAAACGTTGTGCGAATTAGTGTACTTTTTCCACAGGAAAAGTTGTGCGAATCGGAGTACTTTTTCTATGGGAAAAGCTGTCGGAATCGGAGTACTTTTTCTATATAAAAAGTTGTCTGAATGGGAGTACTTTCTCTATAGGAAAAGTTGTCCGAATCGGAGTACTTTTTCTATAGGAAAAGTTGTCCGAATTGGATTACTTTTTCTATAGGAAAAGTTGTCCGAATCAGAGTACTTTTTCTATAGTAAATGTTGTCCGAATCGGAGTACTTTTTCTATAGGAAAAGTTGTCCGAATCGGAGTACTTTTTCTATAGGAAAAGTTGTCCGAATCGGAGTACTTTTTCTATAGGAAAAGTTGTCCGAATCGGAGTACTTTTTCTATAGGAAAAGTTGTCCGAATCGGAGTACTTTTTCTATAGGAAAAGTTGTCCGAATCGGAGTACTTTTTCTATAGGAAAAGTTGTCCGAATCGAAGTACTTTTTCTATAGGAAAAGTTGTCCGAATCGGAGTACTTTTTCTATAGGAAAAGTTGTCCGAATCGGAGTACTTTTTCTATAGGAAAAGTTGTCCGAATAGGAGTACTTTTTCTATAGGAAAAGTTGTCCGAATCGGAGTACTTTTTCTATAGGAATAGTTGTCCGAATCGGAGTACTTTTTCTATAGGAAAAGTTGTCCGAATCGGAGTACTTTTTCTATAGGACAAGTTGTCCGAATCGGAGTACTTTTTCTATAGAAAAAGTTGTCCGAATCGGAGTACTTTTTCTATAGGACAAGTTGTCCGAATCGGAGTACTTTTTATATAGGACAAGTTGTCCGAATCGGAGTACTTTTTCTATAGGACAAGTTGTCCGAATCGGAATACTTTTTCTATAGGAAATGTTGTGCTTTTTCTACAGGAAAAGTTGTGTTGTCGGAATCGAAGTGCGTTTTCTATAGGAAAAGTTCTCCGAATCAAAGTACTTTTTCTATAGGGAAAGTCCGAATCGGAGTACATTTTCTTTACGAAAAGTTGTCCGAATCGGAATACTTTTTCTATAGGAAAAGTCTGAATCGGAACATTTTTCTATTGGAAAAGTTGTCAGAATCGGAGTACTTTTTCTATAGGAAAAGTCAGAATCGGAACATTTTGCTATTGGAAAAGTTGTCAGAATCGCAGTACTTTTTCGATACGAAAAGTTGTCCGAATTAGAGTACTTTTTCTATAGAAAAAGTTGTCCGAATCGGAGTAGTTTTTCTATAACAAAAGGTTTCCGATTCGGAGTACTTTTTCTTTAGGAAAATTTGTTCCAATCGAAGTACGTTTTTTTGGAAGAAATTGTCCGAATCGGAGTACATTTTCTTTACGAAAAGTAGTCCGAATCGGAATACTTTTTCTATAGGAAAAGTCTAAATCGGAACATTTTCTGTTGGAAAAGTTGTCAGAATCGGAGTTCTTTTTATATAGGAAAAAGTGTCCGAATCGTAGTACTTTTTTTAGGAAGAAATTGTCCGAATCGGAGTACTTTTTCTATAGGAAAAGTTGTCCGGATACTTTTTCTATACGAAAAGTACTTTTTCTATAAGAAAATTTACCCAATTCGGAGAACTTTTTTATAATAAAAGTAACACATTTTGATTACTTTTTCCTACTTGAGTTCGATATCAATAAATTATTTGACATTTCAGTTACTAACTTAATTGAAATTAAATTAAAAATATACTATCAGCAAGTTGTTTTATATTAAATATAATTACAATTGTTCTCTGGAAAATGTTTTAATTTAAATATAAAACTTACTCTTTTTTTAAATTTATTATTTTAAATAATTAATCTGGGCGTATGAATATAAGTATTAAAATAAAACATGTTTTTTCAGCCTCTTCTCTCGTGTAGATTAATATTTAATTTTTCAAATTATTCAACAAAAAAAAATGCGTGAAAACTAACGAGTTTTTCTTGTTGTTTTTCTGAAAAATTTTCGCACATTTATAATTTTTATATGCCGGCACAGATGTCGCGGCATTAAAAATCTGTGTGTATTGTTGTTATTTTTCTGGTTTAAATACATAAACCATTAAATACAATAAATAAGATAAAAAAATAACAGAAAAACAAAAATAAATAAACATAAAGACAGACAAACCGACAACCAACAAAAGTACTAAAGAATGGAGCAAAGGGGGCCAATGGAAACCACCAAAAAATCAACAACAAGCAGTTGCAACAAGCAAATATATATTTTTTTAAAGAAATAAAAATAAACATATTTTTATTTTTTATTTTTTTACTCAATATTTTTAAATGTCATGGCTAGAAGAGACTGTGAGGGAATCAAACCAAAAGTATAATATGGACGAGTGTGTTTATTATTATAAGTGACTGTTTGTTTGTTTGTTGTAGTTGTTGTAAGAAAAATAATATTAAATTTTTATAAAATTCTTCATTAATTTTTTCTTTAAATGACATTAAATTGTGTGGACAGTTTTTGTTTCTTTATTTTATTTTTCTACTTAAAATTAATTGAAGGAAAATTACTAAATTGTGATTTTTATTTTTTATTAGGCCCCTTAATTCTCTCTTCTTTGTTGTTTTTTTTTTTTGTTCTTTGACAATATTATTGCAAACGTCATGAAAATGTTTATTGTGTTTGAAAGTTTTTCTTTTCAACAGCTGGTGGGTTTGTTGATTTAGCCTAGATTTTCTACAGTAAAAAAATATCAATTCAATTTAAATTCAATTTTATGTTTGTTCATAACTGAATAATTAACATTTTAATTGTTTTTGTCTGCCGCTTTGTCTGCAGAGTAATTTTAGGGAAATTTTGGGTAAAAAAACACAAATCTGTAAGAAGAAACAGATGTTTTTTTCCAAATCTATAGGAACTTTTTTATGAAAATTTTAAGAATTTGGGTACTTTTTCTATAGGAATAGTTGTTTGAATCGGAGTACTTTTTCTATAGATAAACTTGTCCCAATCGGAGTAGTTTTTCTATAGGAAAAGTTGTACGAATCGGAGTAGTTTTTCTATAGAAAAAGTTGTACGAATCGGAATACTTTTTCTTTAGGAAAAGTTGTCCGAATCGGAGTACTTATTGTATAGGAAAAGTTGTCCGAATCAGAGTACTTTTTCCATGGGAAAAGTTGTCCGAATCGGGCTACTTTTTTTATAGGAAAAGTTGTCCGAATCGGAGTACTTTTTCTATAGGAAACGTTGTCCGAATCGGGGTACTTTTTCTATTGGAGTACTTTTTCTATAGGAAAAGTTGTCCGAATCAGAGTACTTTTTCTATAGGAAAAGTTGTCCGAAACGGAGTAGTTTTTCTTTAGGAAATGTTGTGAGAACCGGAGTACTTTTACTTGAGTGTACATTTTCTATAGGAAATGTTGTGCGAATCGGAGTAATTTTTCTAAATGAAAAGTTGTCCGAATCGAAGTATATTTTCTATAGGAAAAGTTATGGGAATCGGAGTACTTTTTCTATAGGAAAAGTTGTCCGAATCGGAGTATTTTTTCTATAGGAAAAGTTTTCCTAATCGGAGTACTTTGTCTATAGGAAAAGTTGTCCGAATCGGAGTAGTTTTTCTTTAGGAAAAGTTGTCCGAATCGGAGTACTTATTGTATAGGAAAAGTTGTCCGAATCAGAGTACTTTTTCTTTGGAAAAGTTGTCCGAATCGGGGTACTTTTTCTATAGGACAAGTTGTCCGAATCGGGGTACTTTTTCTATAGGAAACGTTGTCCGAATCGGAGTACTTTTTCTTTAGGAAAAGTTGTCCGAATAGGAGTACTTTTTGTATAGGAAAAGTTGTCCGAATCGGAGTTTGTTTTCTATAGGAAAAGTTGTCCGAATCGGATACTTTCTCTATAGAAAAAGTTGTCCGAATCGGATACTTTCCCTATAGAAAAAGTTGTCCGAATCGGAGTACTTTTTCTATTCCGATTTGTCCGAAGTTGTCCTAATCGGACTACTTATTGTATACGAAAAGTTGTCCGAATCGGCGTACTTTTTCTATAGGAAAAGTTGTCGGAATCGGAGTACTTTTTCTATAGGAAAAGTTGTCCGAATCGGAGTACTTTTTCTATAGGAAAACTTGTCCGAATCGGAGTACTTTTTCTATAGGAAAACTTGTCCGAATCGGAGTACTTATTCTATAGGAAAAGTTGTCCGAATCGGAATACTTTTACTATAGGAAAAGTTGTCCTAATCGGAGTAATTTGTCTATAGGAAAAGTTGTACTTTTTCGATACGAAAAGTTGTCCGAATCGGAGTACTTTTTCTTTAGGAAAAGTTGTCCGAATCGGAGTACTTTGTCTATAGGAAAAGTTGTCCGAATCGGAGTAGTTTTTCTATAGGAAAAGTTGTCCTAATGGGAGTACATTTTGTATAGAAAAAGTTGTACGAATCGGAGTACTATTTCGATACGAAATGTTGTCCGAATCGGAGTACTTTTTCTATATGAAAATCTGTGCGAATCGGGGTACTTTTTCTATAGGAAAAAGCAGTCCGAATCAGAGTTCTCTTTATCTAGGAAAAGTTGTCCGAATCGGAGTACTATTTTTGTATAAGAAAAGCTGTCCGATTCGGTGTAATTTTTCTGAGGAAGTACATTATAAACATTTAATAAAATAGAACACATTCTGAGAAAACAACTAGACCATGACAAACGTTGTTGTACTAACGTTTTATTTTACAATTTAAATAAATTTTATTGTTTGTAGGAAGAAACAAGAGATAAACGAAAATTGCTATTGTTGTTATTTTTTTATATATTTTTGTTGTTGGTTTTATTGTTATAGTAATTGTTATTGTAGTATTTTATTACACTGTTAATTACGTTTTGTTTAATTCAGATAAATACAACGACACTGTTGACAATTTTGATGATGGGCGCGTATGGTCAATTATTTGACTCACCACTGTCATTGTACTCAATTATTTTAGCAGTAATAAATATTTGTTTTTTTTTTGTCACAACGAATTTACTTTAGTTGTCTTTTTAATAAAAATTTAAATGAATGTGGTTGCTGCTTCTTTTTGTGTTTTGCACAAAATTAAGCTATTTTTAAAATTTTATAAAATTATTTTTAATTCTAATGATTTCATACTTTATATTATAATTTTTTATATTTTGCTACTTTTTTTCAAATTGTTGCACAATTTTTAAAATTTATTTTTTTAATTTAGTAAAGTGTGACAATTTTTTGTCTTCTGTTCTTGTTTTAAATTTGTTTCACTTTTCGGCCATAATTTTAATGTAATTTGCCTTGATTTTATTTATTATTATGGTTTTTTGTTGAAATAATTTATTTGAAACACTTTTATTTGTTCTTAAAATCAAAGATCACATCGAATACTTTTGTTTAGCGGCATTATTTTTTTTTTTGATCTTTTTGATTGGATTTTTCAACACTTCACTTAAACGAAATCAGGTTAAATAATCACATCTGTGTGTTTAATTTTCGTGTTGAGGAAAATGTGATAAATCTTTAAAGTGTTTGAAAGGAAATTATCTTTATATTTTGTTTTGAAAATTAGTTCACGACATCAACGACGACGGTTGTTATTGTTTATATACACGGCATGATACTAAAACATTTACACGCGTCAAATTGTAAGATACTTTTGTGTGGAACGGCAGAAAAATCTTTAATTTGAATCTAGTGCTTTGTTGAGTATTTGTCGCCCCCAGTGTGAGAGAGAATTGTCTATCTATGCACGTTGTGTTGTTGGTAATTGAACAGAATGTACCACCATATATTTGTGTGATCGCCGCAAACAGGTCAGAGGTGGGCAAGCAGGAAAATGTATTGTGGGCCATTAGAAGTACAACTGTTAATCGAAATACTTTTTCTTTCGAAAAAGTTGTCCAAATCAGAGGAAATTTTCTTTAGGGAAAGTTGTCTGATTATTAGGACTTTTGCTTTACTACTTTTTTTAGGAAAATTTGTCCGCATCAAATCACTATTTCTTTAGGAAAAGTTATCCGAATTGGAAGATCTTTTACTATAGGAAAAGTTGTCCGAATCGTAGTACTTTTTCTATAGGAAAAGTTGTTCCAATCGAAGTACTTTTTCGGAGTACTTTTTTTTATAGGAAAAGTTGTTCGAATCTATAGGAAAATTTGTCCGAATCGCAGTTCTTTTTCTATAGAAAAATTTGTCCGAATCGGATTGCTATTTATATAGGAAAAGTTGTTGACTAAACTATAGACTCGATTACAAACCAGACTATAGACTAGACTATAGACCAGACTATAAACTAGTCTATAGACTAGACTATAGACTAGACTATAAACTAGACTTTAGACTAGACTATAGACTAAAATATAGACTAGACTATAGACTGGACTATAGACTGGACTATAGACTAGACTAGGCTAGACTATAGACTAGACTATAGACTACACTATAGACTAGACTATAGACTAGACTATAGACTAGACTATAGACTAGACTATAGACTAGACTATAGACTAGACTATAGACTAGACTATAGACTAGACTATAGACTAGACTATAGACTAGACTATAGACTAGACTATAGACTAGACTATAGACTAGACTATAGACTAGACTATAGACTAGACTATAGACTAGACTATAGACTAGACTATAGACTAGACTATAGACTAGAATATAGACTAGACTATAGACTAGACTATAGACTAGAATATAGACTAGACTATAGACTAGACTATAGACTAGACTATAGCTATACTAGACTATAGACTAGACTATAGACTAGACTATAGACTAGACTATAGGACTAGACTATAGACTAGACTAAGACTAGACTATAGACTAGACTATAGACAGACTATAGACTAGACTAATAGACTAGACTATAGACTAGACTATAGACTAGACTAGACTAGGACTATAGACTAGACTATAGACTAGACTATAGACTAGACTATAGACTAGACTATAGACTAGACTATAGACTAGACTATAGACTAGACTATAGACTAGACTATAGACTAGACTATAGACTAGACTATAGACTAGACTATAGACTAGACTATAGAGCTAGACTATAGAGCTAGACTATAGACTAGACTAAGATAGACTATAGAGTAGACTATAGACTAGACTATAGAGTAAGACTATAGACTAGACTATAGACTAGACTATAGACTAGATATAGACTTAGACTATAGACTAGGACTATAGACTAGACTAGACTATAGACTAGACTATAGACTAGACTATAGACTAGACTATAGACTAGACTGTAGACTAGACTATAGACTAGACTATAGACTAGACTATAGACTAGACTATAGACTAGACTATAGACTAGACTATAGACTAGACTATAGACTAGACTATAGACTAGACTATAGACTAGACTATAGACTAGACTATAGACTAGACTATAGACTAGACTATAGACTAGACTATAGACTAGACTATAGACTAGACTATAGACTAGACTATAGACTAGACTATAGACTAGACTATAGACTAGACTATAAACTAGACTAGACTATAGACTAGACTATAAACTAGACTAGACTATAGACTAGACTAGACTATAGACTAGACTATAGACTAGACTATAGACTAGACTATAGACTAGACTATAGACTAGACTATAGACTAGACTATAGACTAGATTATAGACTAGACTATAAACTAGACTGGTCTATAGTTTAGTCTATAATCTAGTCTATAGACTAGACTGGGAATATTTCATACGAATAGTTGTCCGATTCGGAGTACTTTTTATATTATTTTTTCTCGGGCCATAGATTGTTCTCTTCAATTGAGAATTAATAAAAAATGTGATCTCGCTACGTGTGACGTGATTTCAAGATATTCACCACACTCATTTTAGATATCGAGTGCTATGTGTTTTAAGGCGACAATAAGGTGAATTCGTATCTTGTTATATTTCTCATTGTTCTCTTCTTTAACACTTTCCTCTCTTTCCACTAAACAAATGCTATATGTGTATCTTAAATTGTTATTTAGTGGGTGGCTGGATGACAGGCAGATTAGGAAGGGTGGAAGTAATCTATTTGAATTAATAGAATATATTCGAATGAGAGATTGTGTGTTTTTTGAAGTGTGAAATAGTGTGATCGTGAATAACAAAAAAAAGGGGCTTGTTTTCAAGTTCATTACTATTTCAATAAAAAACAACTAATATTGACCTTTGAACTTTCATGAACTTGTTATACTTTTCAGCAAAAAAAAAAATATATATATATAAATGAAATGTCGTAAAAATGTGTTACTTTTAGCAAATTTTCTGGGAATATTTCGTAGTTTTTGTTTCTTAGAATATTTCTTTTTGATTTGTATAAATTGTATATGTGTCACTTACAATTTGTATCCATTTAATTGCATGATGTGCATGAGCAGTTTTACGGTACCATTTTTGACAATTCCATTTGCTTTATTTTGAGACATTGTTGTTGTTTTCTCTTTTATTATTAAATTTAAGAATTTTCTTTTTATTTTTCCTAAACGCTTGTTTTATTTAATTACAATTGTAATATAAAATCTTGCATTTATTTGTATTGAAAATAAGTTGAATTTTATTTTATTTAATTTTTCGCAAATTTCACTTGACATTAAATCGTTACGAATAAATTTAAGACTGTAATCGATTTAGAAAAAGCTAAATTGACTTATTAAATGCTCATGACTATCGATCATTTGCGCGAAAATTTTATGAAATAATAGATTTGTTTTCTTTTTTGTAAATTTCTCTTTTTTTCCCCCCTTTTTTTTCTAAACATGTTCGTTGTAATTAGTAATTTTTTACAAATCATTTGACAGTAACGTGAAAATGAATTGCCGAGTGAATGTGCTAATGAAAAATAATTCAAATGTAAATGTTATTTAAAAGGAAAATATGATATTTTAAAAGAAAAGTATTTCCTTTTTTTTTTCGTAATAATCATCGAATTTAAAAATAGAAAGTGATTAAAATATTTTATTGAAAGGGGGTTTTTTCTAAAGAAAACTTGTCTTAATCGAAGTACTTTTTGTTTAGGAAAAGCTGTCCGACTCGGAGTAGTTTTTCTATAGGAAAACTTGTCCGAATCGGAGTAGTTTTTCTATAGGAAAACTTGTCCGAATCGGAGTAGTTTTTCTATAGGAAAACTTGTCCGAATCGGAGTAGTTTTTCTATAGGAAAACTTGTCCGAATCGGAGTAGTTTTTCTATAGGAAAACTTGTCCGAATCGGAGTAGTTTTTCTATAGGAAAACTTGTCCGAATCGGAGTAGTTTTTCTATAGGAAATCTTGTCCGAATCGGAGTAGTTTTTCTATAGGAAAACTTGTCCGAATCGGAGTAGTTTTTCTATAGGAAAACTTGTCAGAATCGGAGTAGTTTTTCTATAGGAAAACTTGTCAGAATCGGAGTAGTTTTTCTATAGGAAAACTTGTCCGAATCGGAGTAGTTTTTCTATAGGAAAACTTGTCCGAATCGGAGTAGTTTTTCTATAGGAAAACTTGTCCGAATCGGAGTAGTTTTTCTATAGGAAAACTTGTCCGAATCGGAGTAGTTTTTCTATAGGAAAACTTGTCCGAATCGGAGTAGTTTTTTTTATAGGAAAACTTGTCCGAATCGGAGTAGTTTTTTTTATAGGAAAACTTGTCCGAATCGGAGTAGTTTTTCTATAGGAAACTTGTTCAACTTATGGTTCTATTTCTTTAGGAAAAGAGCAATACTTTGCCACAA